TCCTGAAAACAATTAAAAAGTTTATCATTGGTCAAAAAATACTTCCAAAGAGGCGTAAAACTTGGTCCACCAGTCAAAATCGCTACTATCTTCAATTTCTGGTTCTTCCAATTCTAATGGTTTTGGTGGTGATGGTTTCTTYYTTCTTCTGCAAGTCAAACAGTTGAAAAATTTCCGCCACTTACTTTCCGTTTTGAGTTTTTTCTCAAACTGTATTTTTGTTTCGGATGATTGTACTTTTTCTAATTTCTGAATAAGGGACTCTAAATCTAAAGTTAGAAATTCTGATCAAGTAAAATTACCAATGGATTCGTCAAAATCAAGCRAGTTTCYTCGCACAGTCATCAACTTGAAATTTCTTTCTTCCGAGGTTTGAGGCTGATAGAAAAACATTTGCATCGCCATGATGTGAGTACCAGCAAGGACACTAATACCAAAATTTCGACTATCGTACATTTTTARAGATAAGGTGGGTGCGTATGCTTCCTCTTCCGGAAAACTTGCTTCAATAGACTTGATCGGATTTGAAAAATTTAAGTGTTTCTTGGCGTTTGATAGAGTATCAGATGATACCAAAATAGTACCAAGTTCGACTACAACTTTTGGTTTGTTAATTTGTGCCATTTGAACCTTTTTCAGGTCTCTGACYCCCCARAAAACGACTTCGATTCGATGGCTGATCAAATGTGGTTTAATATCGGGAGGTATTTTGATGATTGGCTCGCGACGTGTTTCTACACTTTTTGTAGAAACTTCAAGGAGTTCAGCAGCTGCCAAAATTTCGGCACTGACATCAAACACATTRTGCACTTGGTACCAAGTTAGTCTAAGAGGACCAGGACCTCGTTGTCCTTTCAAGGTTTTAATAGTYGGTTTGAGGAYACATTTTCCAATTACTTCGATTTGTTGCTAAAATTAGTAATRAATTAAAAACCAAGATTTAAACCTATTTATTTACACATTCATCTTTGTCAAAAATCTCAATGAAGACACTTGGAGGATTAGCAGTGATAAAGTCCCGAGTTCCATACARCTCAACATTTTTAAAAATCAGTGTTTGATCCCAAACAGGATTTAAAGTTTTTTGCAAAACATGAGTTTCTTTAAACTGAGCTGAAATAATAACGTGGACAAAAGGATCAGAAAGACCACTTTTGTCCGACCCTGGAGTAAACCTCCCTTGAAATATGTAAACTCGTGCTTCGAAATTGTACGTTTCTTGTGTTTTCATCGACCGAGGGATAGTTTCGCGTGAAAATAAAAAACCTTCAGGTTGATAAATGGTCAGATGTCGTGGTAAACCCATCCAGATTATGGCATCCATTTTGCAAACACTGGTTATGATTTCGGGAAGGTTTGGGGAGTCTTCAGTTTGGAAATAAAAGGAGCGTAGCTTCCCGCAATGGATGCCCTTTTCTTCATCGACGGTGGAATGAAGAAAGTCACGTGGTTGAAGAAACAAATAAGCTACTCTTTTAGTACCATAGATCATCCAGAAATAAATCAAAGGCCAATCTTCCAACTTCAAAAATGAATATAGCTTTAAAAAGCAGTTAATTGAAAAAAACACATACATCGTCGACTAGAGTTTCAATTTTGCTATAGATTTTTTCAATTTTTTGGAAAACTTTCTTCTTGTTTTGTTCAACTGAAAGCGTCTGTGCCACAACTTTWACCGATTCCATTTCTTTCAAAGACATTTTTATCCGACTTTGRTCTAAAAACGTCTCTTCAGTGAGATTATAATTCGCTACTATATCAATATATTTTCCCGAAGCAAAAGAAATAAAGTCGGCAGTTTCCAACAAGAGAGCTTCAGTCTGASTACTGGCAATTTCATAGTCTTTATTTTGAACGATATATTCAATCTTGTCCAATCTAGACTTCTACAAATTCAAAAATGAAAATTTGTAACACATTGTGGGGATTTTAAACCAAATCTTTTAGCATTTTGCTCAAAAAATTATAATTGAACATTCGTTTCCTAACATCAGGTAACGACAAAGTCACATAAATGCAAGCTTTTTTCCCGGTTATRGGCAAGTAGCAGTAGTTTTTGTTCATAATTTTTGGTTTGACTGGTAATGTAACCATCGCAGCGACTTTTTCCCCACTTGCTTCACTCTGAAGAGCACCACAAGAAATTCGAAACGAGATTGCCTTATCCGAAAATCGTTTATTGATCATAGTGGTATCAAAAATGGTCGCATGCAAGACTATATTTTCATATTTGATAAASGTGTGTTCTTTCAAAAGAGGAGCTTCAGGATATGTTGTACTGTGTTTGACTTCGTATTCGGCTATTTCTCCCAAAAGAGAAGTCTGAAGGGCGAGGAGTACCTTGCCCAAGTAACCTTCCAGATGGTTCGGGGAATAAAAATGAAGAAACGCAGGCCCAAATGTAGGCAAAAACCCTTCTTCTTTGTCATTTGAAATACTTTTCAGGTTTAGATAACAAGTGGATCGTTTATTGCCGTCGTGGTAAAGCTCGATTCTGAATCTTTGACAGAGAGGAGGAAAAAGTTCAGGGAGTACCAGACGTTCGTTCCAGACAGGAGCAGTCGAAGCCTTTTTGGTACTAGTCTTGACCTATTTTAAAAAAATAGCAAATTCCAAAATATAAAGAAAAAATTTTACGTTAACACTCGAAAAACAAATTTCAATTGTCGTGTTTGGTGCATTTTCCGSTCGTTTTAATTCCTGTATCGGGTTTTTTTTAACCAAATCGACTCCTTTGTAAACATCAAAAATAAAAATCACCCTTTGTCTCTCTGTGGTAACCCCRCTTGGTAGGAAAAGRTGCCCTTCAATCTCGTTGGTGTCTACAGTTGGGGGAATTTTGGGCATCTCGCCTTTGGACAAGACACTAACGTCTAGTTTGAGGTACCCTCTGGTACCACCGGCGTACTCTTTGCTCGSGGCTGAGAGAATAGCCCATTTGTGGTACAGCTGATGATCTGATACAAATTATAAGAAAGAGTGACACTTTTGGTGGTGAGTAGTACCTTTCTGGAACCATATGGTACCAACATCAAACGACGTGAAGCCGAGAATTTTACGTTTACGAATCACACTCCCAGGTTTGATCACAGTGATTGTCACGTTTTTATCAAGCATTTTATCGAGAGTTGTTAGAAATTCAAATACAAAAAACTAGGGGAAAGTTTGAGAAACGTAAATTGTGTTTTTTTACCTCATTGTAGTAGGGGGAGTCCGTGTTGTATTTGATAGYTGTACATTTTTTCTGGTTATCAATTTTAATGACGACTACTGAATTCATGTTGGGCCAGAAGTAATGACGGCCTTCAATAATGGTAACATTTACTAAAAACGTTTGAAGCTTTTCAGGCATTTTGTCAATTTTTGACAATGTTCCAAAAACTCCAAGACAAGCTTACTTGAAATTGATTGACTAACGCCATTCTTGCATACAATATTGAACTTTCAGTCTTTTTACAGGCGAGCTTTAGCAGTTGATGAGTTAGAATTGAGTCACTGGATGGTAGATGGCTCTCTCTGTTCCAATGTTTCSAAGATGGAGAGTAAATACTGATTTTTATTTTCACATCCCTTGTCTTCTGTTTAGAACTCGAAAACCCTAAGCAACCGCAAGACAAACCACAGAAAGGCCTTGAAAGCTTTGGTCAGATAATTCCCACCTATTAGCAAATAATTCGTCCTCAGTGTCGTA